GAAGGGATGGATTTATATCTTTCTGAAGTTCTTTTGAATGCAAGTGAAAGCAGGCTGGATTTGGTTTATCAATAACCGTTATGTTACGTGCACATCTGATGAAACTTTTAGAAGTTTTAATCATGGGTTCAAGAATGAAACTGCAAGATATTAGTAAACTTTTTGTCATGTCTATTCAGAATGTAATCATACATAGCTCTCCACAACTTCCTATCCTTTGTAGCACTAAGTAATATTTATCCTCTTACTATCCATCTCACTCTCTGTTCTACCATCCATTTACCCAAGTTAATTAGGTATGTTACTTGCCATTTCTCAGTGTCCCTCTTGATTTCAATTTGTCTTGGGAGTGTCATCTTCAAGTCTTCTTTCTATAGTAGATAGCAACTCAGAAAAATTTGAATTCTAGTCAAGTTTGTTACATCCAAATACTTGCAAATGCATTCAGGAATGGTGTGAAGCCATCTCTTCTCCCCCTGGCTATGGGTTAAATAGTAGCAATATGATAAAGTTTTTAGTAACTTCAATCAGAAGAACAGGGCAAAATAATACAAGGCAAGCAATAAGACAAGACAGTAAAAAAAAAATGGGATACTGCTTTCTGAATTCAAGGCAAGAAAGAAAAATGTTAAATCATTATTCATAGCCCATTTTTATTGGCTTGGAAGAAATCTCAGCATGCATCTATAGGATTTATCTATAAATTTGGGGAGGGTAGGTTTTTAGCAGTCATTACCCAACTGGAACCAACATTTGTATCAGGGGAAAAAAAAAATCCTTATTTCACTTGCAAAGAAAAAAATTATTCTTACAATCCAAAATGTTTCAGCTTTAAATAACTCTACAAAGAGTTGATAACCTGTGTAAAAAAAAAAAAAAAAAAAAAATATATATATATATATATATGCACCAACATACTTTCCTCATTATGTATCCCTAAAATTTCAATGCTATCTTTCTAAGTAAAACTGTCCATTTTGTTCACATTTTCTCTAAAATGGCTTTGTTGCTCAAATTAAGGTTCCGTCCATGGCATTTTCATATTTCTCTAGATCTCTGTCTTAAGTCTCCTCTTCATCTGTGAGGAAATTCTCCAGCTTTCACTGTTATTTCATAGGCTTGCACTTCAGCAATCTTTTCTTGGTTTCTAATAAATTCTTTTTCTGTTTCTCAAAAAAGAAAAAAAAAAAGACACATGCCATTTTAGTGTCTGTTTCATTTTTACTGTAGATATAAACATTTGCATGTGTATGACTATAAACTGCACCCAGCAGCAAGGCCTCTAATCAAGAGGCTTTGAGGTGCATAGAACCACCTCTTAACTGCTGTTATTCCCAAATACACCCTGACCCAGGGTGGTAGCACCTGTTAGGGTCCTAACTATGGGAAAAGGGCTAACCCACAAGCTGGAGTCAAAATACTATGAAAGTATGAAAATGCGTTTTCATAGCAGAAATACCAGCAATGCGTTTTCATAGCAGAAATACCAGCAATGCGTTTTCATAGCAGAAATACCAGCAATGCGTCTTCATAGCCGAAATACCAGCAATGCGTCTTCATAGCCGAAATACCAGCAATGCGTCTTCATAGCCGAAATACCAGCAATGCGTCTTCATAGCCGAAATACCAGCAATGCGTCTTCATAGCCGAAATACCAGCAATGCGTCTTCATAGCCGAAATACCAGCAATGCGTCTTCATAGCCGAAATACCAGCAATGCGTCTTCAATGAAATACCAGCAAGCCGAAATACCAGCAATGCGTCTTCATAGCCGAAATACCAGCAATGCGTCTTCATAGCCGAAATACCAGCAATGCGTCTTCATAGCCGAAATACCAGCAATGCGTATTTGTAAAAGAAATTACTAATGCTCCCATGAAAATTAAATATTGGCATTAAATGATCCATTAAACAAACAATAATAGTAATATAAACATTTGCACCAAATTTGACATCATTTCTGTATGTGATGAAATCTGTTTGTAAAATTACACAAGTAATTTTGACTCCTCTTCTAATTCTTCTTGGTTATCTATTAAGGTTAGTTAGCAAGTGTGTTCCACCCTGCCATTGCCAGATATAAATAATGGACCATTCAATCAAAGATGGTAGAAAGACATCAAAGATGCTGTTTGATTTCAGTAAGAAAAAGCTTACATAATAAGAAAGAAAAGATAGAAAAACTCTGTGTTTAATGTTGTTGGATGAGTGTCCAAGCTTAAGTGTAAAATAAATGACAAAACTGTCCAAAAAACAAAATTGACATAATTTGCAATGAGAAAAAAAATAATATAAAGCAAGCAAACAATATATGCAAGGCAAATTAGCCATAAGGAAAACAACTGTAATATGGCAAAAAGTTCCCAAACTAAGATTTGGTGTTGACACCCAACTACAAGTTTCGACAAGTGAACATAATGTTCTGACTTCAAGACCTGACATACCAGGACTGAGGTTATTTACCTTGCCTTTCCAAAAGGCAAGATGTAGCACAGAGCCA